CTAGGAACTGTCTATTTCAGCATACTTTTCTATAGAATGGGAAGCACTTTTTTATTACACTTATTTTAGTAAAGTCGATATGATCGTCTATTTGCAGGGTGTAACATGCTTCCATGTGATATCTCCCCTACACCTGCTAGCTACAGGCAGTTGTGATGGCATCGTACGCCTTTGGGAGACGACGCAGTTGGCACCGTTCGCGTTGCTGACGGTTCCGACCACTCCGGCTGTTTTAGACGTGGTCGTGATGGCATCCGAGGAGATAGTGTTAGCTTACTGTAATAATTGTGTGAGTGAAGAACCTCATATAAGCTTAAAAGGAACAAATAAAAGAAGAATATAGTATTTAAAGAGTAGTTAAAAACAACATTTAATGTAATTTTGTTGACATTACAACTTTAAAAAAATTAATTTATATCAAATACTTATTTAAGGAGATTCTTCAATTCTTGATAAACATTAGAGGAATTGCAAATAAAATAGATTTTGGAATTTCAGACAATTCATATTTGGGATATGTACGAAGAGTGTTTACTGCAGAGCATCAAGTTGAAGTTTCCGTTTCTCGGTGTACTTGGCAAAAGGGTAGAGTTCGGAACGTACTGCATCCATCCCGGTAAGTGAAGCTTTTGTTCTGATACCTTTAAGAACATCAGGATACTACACGAAATTTTTTATTGTATTATATAAATTTTGCATTTTCAATGCTATAATGGTAAATATTCTTAAAGAAAAATTCTTAAAAACGCAGTCGCTAGTAAAGCGAAACTGCTTGGGATCGAGTCCCATTTCTGGGTATTTGATGCTGGTGGATTTATTAAGCATTTTTAAAAAGTTTTATTGCAACAGGTACTTTCTCTTAATCTTTATATTCTTGTTCACTATGTTCAGCGACTATTCTAACCATTGAATAACAATCATATTGTATCACTCTAGCTCAAATAGTCATGATTAAAGCGTAATCACAATAAATGAGTTTTCTCATCCCTAAATATTACTCTAATCATCTTGCCATTGCGGTGTAAGTGCTCTGCTGGTTGATAGCGTTATATAAGCTCCACACGCATCGTACTCATAAATCTTTATGTTCAGGACCAGCTAGAAAATCTTTGCATGGTGACGAATCAGCGTCCGAACCACCACCAGAGCTTTTTTCTCGTCGGGGATCGAGCGTGTACCAGGGATCTACTGGTGGTTTAATTTTGCAACCGGAGCCTAAAGAGGACTGGCATTCCAGAAGCTTGGAACATGAACCGTCAGTATTGTTAATATCGATGTCGAATAAATTTTCTGATCCAGGATCTTGTGTAAATTAATAAAGCCAAGTGTTTCAAAATATGATTTCATGGCTTGTAGGGAGTATATTCGTTTTAATCGTCTCGAGCTGATCTTCACTTGCTGTGACTACGTCTGCGTTCTCAAACTTAAAAATGTAGAGCTGGGAGAACTATTGCCGCCTCCTGGAGACACACTGCGAGCAAGGAGACCATCTATATGGGAGTTGCCGAATGACATGATGATGGGTTATTAATTACAGACATATATTGATAGAATTTTTTATGATAATAAATTTGTAATATCTTGGTAGTAATAGATTCAATCTGTAAAGGTATTATAATTATTTTAAATTTCAGAAAATATTTGCTTTGTATTACTCCAAGTTTGACAAAGATCTTATACCAATACCTTTAGTGGTGGTGAATATATTATAAGCACTTATTTTATCTTAAAATCGCACCAACGACCACTTACTTAATCTACTTACTATTCCTAAGATATATCTTTAATTTAGTGTGTTACTTTGAATTATCCAATGTTTGGTTCAAATCTAATTTAAGAAATATACCGAAATTATGATATGTGATGTATATCTGTGTAGCTCCACTGTCAGCTCATACTTCGCCACGATCTCCACGAGTTCCTTCACCACGTCTGCTGGCACCATCTGCTGCTGAATTTCCAACACACGATCTTGACACACTATTGAAAAATGCCGGTAAGAGTCCCTTTATTCAAATACAAATGAAACCTGCAAGGTAACTTTTGTGCAGAATAACTGCCTAACACTCTAGCCATAGATATTAAAAAGATATTCTTTATCTAAACTGCGCTTATTTCTTCATTCTTGTGCAGAATTTAAATAAATCTGAAATTTCAGGTCTAGAAGGAATATTAGAAAAAGACTTTGTGTTGATGCAAGGACTGAAACAAGACTTGAACAAAAAACTTGCTGATATGAAAGCAAACACTAGCGATGTAAGTATACTAATATTTTTCTATTTATAGGTACCTAACTTAATCATTCAGTCGATATACTCAGTTAAGGTTTAGAAAATGAAAACAGAAATCAAATCTTTTCCTATCCATGTCTACGTTCAGATAATGCAATTTACTACAACCTCGCTTGGAGAAAAACTCTACTGTAAACGCTTATATTAATAATAGCGCAGAAAATATCATATAACTTTGGATCCTTCAAAAGAGATGTGAAAAAGTTTCCTATAATGCCGTTAAGCTAGTGATAGCTGCCGGAAGTCGTTTCGACTCTATACGTCTAAAAATAATAATGAACTGTGATAGCATTTTGCGTAGTGTTTTGCAATTTTTTAATACAAATGTGTTTGAACTGATTATTCAGATGTCAGCAGCTGTCAGTGCAGGAGCGCCCTACCTAGCTTTGAAAACCTATGAGCCGGTAATCATAGAACCAGTCGACGATATGATGGACGCCTACAAAAGAGTTATGAAGTAGGTTACATTTAAAACACAATATCTGGTATTTGAGATCTGACAGAGACCACATCTTCTGAACATTCATCACCACAAATTATATCGTATTTTGACACAAATCAACGAGTCTTTAAGTCCGGTTATACATCACTACAAAACAAAACGATTTACGGGATCAATAAAAAATTATGGAAACATTTATTTACATATTTTTTTAAATTTATTCAAAGCTTTTATCTGTATACTGTAGCTTCTTCTAACTCTTTTTATAGTTATTTGAAAAATGAAAATGTTATCAAAATAATATATATAGGCGCAATTATGCAGTACGTAATAAATAAGTACAATGACCTCAATTAGGGTATATGCGTCAGACCGAATTTACAAGTCTCTCATTATGAATAGATAATTTTAAAAGTAGATAGAAAGAGTTATCAGCTTTCAAAATAACAAGCGTCGATGTTGTGACGAATTTCATCCTTGTCATTACTGTATGTGCAGCGCTTTAATTACAAGAAATAAATACATAAATACTCATTTAATGATATGCTGTAATTTTGAATTATTTGCTGAAATGTGATTCAGCAAATTAATTCAACTACTGCTGGTGACCTGTAATACGGTGTAATATACAGGCACCATTTTCCCACGAATGACTTAACTAACTTAAATAACATTATATAGGTAATTATAGTAAATATTACAATATTGAAAGAACATAAGACAACATAAATACAATATTATCTTTATGGTTAATAAAACAGAGATTCGTGCAGTGATAGATAGATAGATAGATAAATTCTTTATTTGCATCATGCATACACAAAATTTTACAATTTGAATTTTACACAATATTAGAAACTAACTAAATATTAGAAAATAAACACAATATCAGAAACCAAAACAGGACAATCAAATATTATGTGTACCGCAGCGATGCAAATGGGCGAAAACTCAGTGTGTATTTACTCAAAGAGCAAAGCACTGATTTTCAGTTTTTACCCCAAATACTTTTTGATTACAAATAGATCCTGTGGTTTAATTATAAATCGTACGTTTTTTATACAGATTATTCCCAATGTCGAGTACAGCTGGTACCCCAACTGGAAGTGAGTCGTCAACACTTAGGAGTGCAAGATTATGAGGACGCCATTAGCCGTGTTTTTAATGTTACTAAAATTAATATCATTAATCATCTGAATAACAAATTTTTTTATCATTTAGTTATTATATTATTATTGTAGGTATCTTAATGTTTATTAAATTAAGCAAATAATACGGAATGTCATTGTTATTATTAGATAAGCGAAAAAAATAACACACCTAAAAGATTATGTTTAACTCAGAAAAAAATATATAATAAATAAGTTTCGTTGCTGCATTCTAGAGTTTCTTTTGTTTACTAAGTTTATGTGTATATATGGTAGTTTGTGGTGGTATACTCCTTAATGGCACTATGAACTAATTATTTGAGTTAAAATTAAAATGTATTGGAAGGTGAACGGTCTTTTGGTTATTTTTTGTATATTTGACTTGTCATTGAAATATATAATTTGTGATCAAGTAATGTTAATCTAGTTGATGTTGCTTATAAGTAAATCATAATACAATACAAAAATTAACAATAAATATGCAATTGTAAGTTAATTTTATACCAATAGAATAGAAAAACAAATATATATTATTTAATCTGTTAAATGTAATTTTATTTTAGGAATATTTATAAGTACAATGTTTAAATACTTATATTTCAATTCTTTAGGGCAATATTAGTGCGAATTATTGCAATATTCAAATAATAATCAATTTTCAACTTCTAAGATTCGTGAAATGAATTATATAAAATCGAATCTGTAATACAGGTTATATTATAAAGCGGAAAGATTTGTTTACTAGTGTATAGTTATAAAAGATTTTTTTTAAATAGATTTATTTTAAAAAAATCTTTTACAAATGACATGAAAATCGTGACAGCTTAAAAAATCTAAAAAGTATTAAAATCTAGAAAAGCTACGAGGGAACCCTGTACGTGAATCGACACACTCTTTGGCGATAATTTTTTATAGTAAATAGTCATGATATGAGTATAATAATATTCATATCATCAGATGACGTCATAATCGTTTGATTCTTTAAAACTAATAGTCCAATTTTAATTATTACCAATCGCGTCCAAAATAAAGACGTAAACCTTTGACAGTTTTGTAACGCCGACTTGTGATTGAAGGTTTTATATTATCTAATTTTTATTTTTTACGTGGCCAGTAAAAATGATAGTAACTATGAAATTCCCTAGGATGAACAAGGAGTTATTAAAAAAGTTTATTGACATACGACCAGTGATGAATGCGTTGAATAGAAGATATAGTCAGAATCACGAGGAGTTCTTTAAGATGTACAGTGAGGATTGTGTTATTAATGGATACGGTGGACCGTTAACTGCGGACGATTATACTAGGTTTTTCAGCAAGAGGTCAATGAGGAGGGAGCCAGCTTTAACTAGAGAAATGAGTAAGTACGAGCCTGTGATTTGACATAATTCAACGACAGATAACGGGCTATGTTTGAGATGATTATTTTTTTAATTTTTATTTTTTTTTCGTAAAGCGATATTGATCTTTAAGAATAATCATATCCAAACTAATTATTATTACTTTTATTATTTAATGTTACTAGAAGTAAGCGTAGTTTTTATTTAGAGGCTGGCACGATTCAAGCGCTAAAATTTATAAGTGGGTCAAAAAGCATAATAATATAAAATGTTACTTAAGTATGACTCCTGCGATAGATAGAAAATTTAAAATGCAATGTAAAATATATTTCGGTTCAAGCCACCCAAGTATCAAGAAATAAAATTGTTTTTGGTTGATGTTGGCAGTCAGAAGAAAATTTTTTTTATAAGCTCAATGTTTCTCAATCTGTGGTCCACGATACCTGAAGATATGTATGGGTTCATAGAATTTTCAGCACGACGAACCTGAATCCGGTTTTAACATTGACCTTCACCACCTTCGTGGTTATCAAAAAAACTACCATTACCATATTTTGTAATATAAACAAATAGTCCGAAATTTATTAGATTTTATAATCCCTTGATCTCGTGCTTGATGTCTTGATGTCCTAGTGTACCGTGAACCCGGATAGATAGAGGAGTTCGAGTAAAATATTAAGTAAATTAAAGTATTCTCTGAAATTCTATAAAATTTTTGTTGGTCGCGTCAACGAAAAACGAAGTAAAAAGTGTTCTTTCAATCGCAAAATGTGTGCAAAAACCTCCAGATTTTTTTTTTCATTTTCGGTTTGGTCAAGTACCCTAAACGTCTATGATAAACATCACAGGTAGATGAAGTCGTAGTCTATCAATTAAGATATGCAAAATTACGATATTATAGCAAATTCCTGATAAAGTATTCACGCGTACGTATCTCAGCGCTTATCTATTACTGAATTAAATTAAAAAAATATTTCTGATAAGAGTTCCCATTGATAACGGTTACTTACTGACAACCAATTCGTGATCTTTTGTAATTGTGTGAATAACGTTAATAAGGAATTAGAAATTTTGATAGTTCTATATAAACTCTAGCTACAGTTTAAATATGTTTTACGTATTTTATCAATGATTAAGTTAATGTTCAAATATGAGGTTTTTATTATTTTTTATACTTATTATTTACTCAGTTTTTGAAATAACTTTGTTTGTCTAAATTCTTTTTTTTTATTTAGTCAAACTTGGTATTATTTTGTAAACTACAACAACCAAAACCATTTGATGAAATATGTTATTAATAAAAAAGAACATTATAAAAGCATACAAATTAAAATCAATAAAATATTTCATAGCCATGGCTAGAGAGTTAAGCCGCCAACTCTCTACATAGATACAAGTAGGTAAAATACATCTGTGCACCGTGCAACAGAATAGACGAGTGCACTAATGGATGCTCGAACTGCAATCAGAGAGTCAGAGGACCGGTGCTAAAAAAAATAATTAATTAAGAGCAATTACTTAATTAATTTAAAATTCTTTGTTACAGCAAATTTATCTTACAAAGTGGGTAAACATGTGATCTCGTTAGCTGAGGGTATGCCAAATGAGGGTGTGTTCCCAATATCCAAGGTGGACATAGAAGTTAAAGGGACTGGGCGGCTGCTCTTAGAAGGGAGTGATCTGTCAGCAGCTTTGCAGTATATACCTTCGCAAGGGTAGGATTTACCACGTATACGCCAAAGTATGCAGCCTCCGTTGTTAAATACCATTACTTTTCAAAATTGACATTATTTTTTAAAATTACCTATTCCACAAAAGGCTCTCTATCATCTTTGTCTTAATACATAATTCCTGTATTTGTATTTTTATAATTATTAGTATATACCTACCTATATTTTATTTATATCGTTAAGGTATCTATACTAATACTAATAGGTAAAGTTTCTAACTTTAGTTGTTTGTATTAGGGGAGTAAACTTTGGAAATACCGATACAACGGTACAACCTACGGGTGCTATAGCTATATCGTACGAGATTGATAAATATAAGCTTTAATTTGCACAAACAAAGTCGTGGGAAAACAGCTAGTGTTTACTACGCTGCGGTACAACACTTAGAATTTACAGATATTGTTTTCAGCTTACCACCCCTCTTGTCGGAACTGCGTCAGTTCCAAAATGATGTGCACCGTCCACCTGCTGTGCCGCGTGACGTGATCGTCACCAACGGTGGACAGCACGGTATATACCAGTGCATGGACTTACTGATGGAAGAAGGCGATCCGGTCGTACTCAACGAGTATACGTACACAGGCGCACATGTTGCGGTAACTATATTTCATAGTCGCTCTATAATTTTATATAAAAATGTCCCGTTGCTGAGACAGAAGCCAAACTCTATTTCTCTGAAATCGAAATATCATTAATTTTCAAAATACTAAATGACTCCAAAGAAATGAATTTTTATGATAATTATGATAACGCTTAATAATTTTCCGATAGTGGACAAACGAGAAGAACTTGAAGAACATAAGAAAATCTTGCATAGATTTATTATTTGAGCTAGGAAAAACAATGAAAAAAAGCTTTACTGTCCAGATTTTTCAGAAATACGTGAAGCTACTTCACCCTAATTTCTATTTGTACTTTCTTTAAAAATGTTAAGCATAAAATTGCAGATTAATTATTTATTTGGCATCAACCCTTGAAGCGTTATCCTCCAAATGCTAATATTATAAAAAGGAAAGACACTTTACAATACTTAAATAGAGATTTTGTATTCGAGTTTAGTTTAGGTACATGTACTATGAGGGTTCCAATTTTGAAAAAAACTCCAAAATATACTGAACTCGTCCTCATACTCCAAACCTTAAAATTACTAAAAGTTTTTTTTATTTAGTTGAAATTCATTATATCGGGTACCGTTAAGTATAGATAACTATAATTTTCATTACCAGCTCAAGCCGTACAATCCAGAGATCATCAGCATCCCAGAAGACCAATACGGAATGATACCGGAAACTTTAGAGTCCATACTCTCTGCACGTCTCTCGCGTGGATTAAAGATGCCCAAGTTACTTTACATCATCCCGACTGGCAGCAATCCCACGGGTACTGTTGTCCCTGAAGAGAGAAGGAGAAAGATATACGAGTTGGCGTGCAGATTCGATTTCCTCATTATCGAAGACGATCCCTACGTTTTCTGTAATTATAGCGAGGTAAGAAAATAGTTTTGGTAATTAGGTGTTTCATACATATCTTATTATACGATTTCAGATGAGTGTGGATCGGTTTAATAGATAATTAGTTTGGTTGTTAACAGATGGCGCTATTTTTAGAATTTAGGCTCTTATTTTTATTACTTAAATTATTCATATTTATTTATTTATATAAGCGTACATTTGTATCTGGTTTCTTTAAGTATTTAAAATATGTATCTCTGTCCCAATTAAAGTTTATTTCGATAGTTTTGGAGGATTCATAATAAATTTAGCCAATAAAGAATGTAAACCATAGACAATGTATTTATACCTACGCACGTACCTACCATAGGTGGACACAATACATTCACTCAAAATAAATATAAAATAAGTTTTAATCTATTGACAAAAATATAATGAAATCGATGCGAAGCTCTACCCTTATTAAAGACCACTTTAAAGACTAAAGACCTTATCATTAAATTAAGCAACCCATCATGAAGGTAAAATTATTGTTGCAGAAAAGAGTTCCCACATTTTTATCCCTGGATACGTGTGGCAGAGTGATCCGCTTAGATTCTCTATCGAAAGTTGTGAGTGCGGGGTTACGTGCAGGGTGGGTGACCGCGCCGACTCCTGTCCTGCAGAAACTTGAACTGCACATGCAAAGTGAATTGCTTCACAGTTGCACGTTGTCACAGGTAATAATGTTAACTATTTATACATTTTAAAATCATTTTCAATACAATAATACCTTATCGCAAACTTAATTTCAAGGAGTCGTTTAGCGTTAGAGTAAATTAACGCTAAAATGACAATTTTGGTATTAGTACAAATTCATATTATACAGAGAATAAGCAAATCTATTACCTTCTACGAGTAAATATTACTCCCGTACAACCTCGTACTAGGTTAACCTTTGCTAAGTCTCTATTTAATAATATGAATTTCGACTAATACTATAAAGTCTCAGAGTAAATTTATCCAACGCTAATCCTTGTTTATTAATAACATTGTTAGGGTCTGGTTATTGTGATACCTTCGTTGTTATTGATTTCTATAATACAAGTGCTTTGACTTATTGGGTGATGCCTAAGAATTATTTATTTATTTTCTACAGTTAAGGATTATTCTTTCTAAACACTATTTTCTTATAAAGTTATTGCTGAGGGCTGTAAATGTATATCATAAAATGTAAATTCATTATTTAATGAAATACGTTTAAAATAAGAAAAATTTTAAACGACTTCATTAGCACTATGTTTTCGTAACGCTAACTGTAAATATTGAAAGGCAAAGAAAGGCATTGGTAATTTATATTTTAAGTTCATGTTTATTTTTGCTTAATTATAGGTAATATTGCATCATTTAATAAGCAACCGGGAGGCGCTAGCGTCGCATCTCAAAGCAGCGCGCGACCTCTATCGACAGCGACGTGATGCTTTGAGTGACGCGTTGCAAGGATTGACTGGCCTCGCTGACTGGACTTTGCCCGATGCAGGCTTGTTTTTCTGGCTCAAAGTGAGAGGTGTCGAAGACGTTCACAATATGGTATGCAAGTGTGTTCATAGATGTCGCTTATATTAATAGTATCATGAAATGAAATTATGTCCGTTTCATTTATTTATCAGGTATTCCGTACTGCACTCAAACGTGGATTGATGGTTGTACCGGGACAAGCTTTCTCTTACTACACTAATGCTCCCTGTCAATATATAAGACTGACTTTTAGTAGAATTCGCTACGAGAACATGAACACCGCAACACGCCACCTAGCAGATATTATAAAAGAAGAACAACAGTTATATTTACAAAAGCTACCACAAAGATTGGCTACTGAACGCTAGATGGCATAATACAGAAATGAGTGAATACAAATGGTAATTTTATGTAGTTAACATAATAATAATATTTGTAGTTAACATAAGATAATAATATAATTGTTTTTATAACTACTTATTGACAGTTTTAAAATAAATGTTAATAATGTTAGCTATATTTTGATCCTAGTTATCTTCTAATACTGTATTAAAACAACAAGTATTTTGTATCAAATTAATTAGTCGATTATTTTATAAGCGTTACAATCTTTAGACAAATTTATTTGTACCTTGAATTTATGTGGGTATGTGTTTTACCTACATTTTTATTTAATGATTATTATAATTTGTGAATTTTGTAACTAGAATAATATTTTTTATTTGATCAGTTTTGCATTCACAATACTATACTGAAAAATGTTCCTAATGAAGCATGCTTAATAATCCACTTTGACCTTTCTTCCTGAGATGGGACTCGAGTAGGGTTGCCAGATAGTAACTTATCAAATCCGGGACAATTCTACAAAAAAAATGTTGGCTCGTGGTTATAACAGAATATATCTTAAATATATATTTTTTCGTATTTGTATTTAAAAGGAAAAATGCCATTTATTTTCAAATACATACTTTTATTAGATATAGGTATGTACTAAGTAGATAATTAACTCCAGTTATAATTCTGAGATGAAACACTGTGGTAGTAAATCACACGTTAAACTAATTGAACACTTCGCTTAAATTACCAATTTTAAACTTTGGTAGACAATGAATACTAAATGGCAAATTAAATAGTAATAAACTGGAGAAAAAAAAACTATGATATATACTACCATAAAAAATCTTAGAACAATAAATTATTAACTTATAAAAAACAATCAGTACTTGACTGTTAGTAACAAAAAATTTTTTACTACATAAAATATAAGACGGGGCGGATGGGCGAGTGAAGTAAAACTATTGCACGCACTCCCCTCCCGCGCCCGCGCGCCTCCCGCACCCGCTCACCGGCAGCCGTGTCATTCGTTGCTAGTTTATTTTGTAAAAAAATAATAAGTTTCCAGAATCCGGGACAATAAGCGCTAATTACTGGACACGGGACAAGAGGCAAGATTCCGGGACAATCCCGGATTTCCCGGCGGTCTGGCAAGCCTAGACTCGAGCCCGTGGCCTTTCGCAACCCGGGCGACTGCTCTAACGAATTTTTCAAGCACTCGTTACAATTTTCGCAAGTAAAAAAGCGTATTTTCATCTATTTTCAGGCAATCCTGCATTCGTAGCATGATGAACTCGAGAACTTTCTCTCACAACATCCGCTCTCGACCCGAGTAAGTGACATTTGGGTGTAGTCAAAGCGTTTCTCGAGTTTGTCATGCTATGCGTGCTGGGTTCGAGTCCCATCTAAGAGCGCCAGGGACAAAATGGATTTTTAAGCATTTTTCATTAGAATATTATTTTTAAGTTGAAATAGGAAGCATATATGAACAGTTTATGTCATATTATGTCTATCGCGAATGTCATATTCATCAATCACGCAGCGTTTATATGTACTGGCCAAGGAGGCCCTTAAAAAAAACACATCTGAAAATTTGACTCTTCGCTTAAAAATAAAGGTAAAGCTTCAAACTATTTCACACAAGTTTTACTTTTATTTTCGCAATAGAGATTTCATTAAAACCATATTTTTGATTAATGATGATGACTCTAGCTAGTTTTTTAAAGTGATTTTATGACTATTAATTTCATATTTAGTTAATAAAAGATATTATAAAAACAGGTTTTTTATTATCTCAATTTGTGTGAAGAATTTGTATGCTTTTTTTTCTATGTCTAAATAATGAGAAATTAAGATTTATCCCTAGTTTTATAGAGCACTGTGCAGATGAAAAAACTGGACAATAAGCCAAAATATCATGTATCCCTATTCAATCACAGATAATTGCTAATTCAAGTTTAGAAACTAAAAAATAAGATTCACGAAATAAACTAATTTCGGCACATGTGAAACTATTATAGTATCGTGAAACTAATACTAGTGCGTTTTGAAAGTGGACGTTGACACTTAAAACTACTAGATAAATTAGTGCATTGAAACTAAACCAACTGCACCTATCCTTTTTTTTTTCTGTTAACGAAATGCACCTTAAGCCTTAAACCAGGGCTCCTCTTCCACCCCGCCCTTAAAAGGGCAGGTTAATGTGGAAGCCCTACCTGATAAAACCCGCTGCGGTTCAGCTCACGCGAATGAATGAGTCCGGTATCAAGCAAAGAGGGCCCAGACCCAACCCGCCGTCACCCTCGCAAGCGAGGACGGCGACGGCGGGGCCGCGGTAACGTGTCCCGGAATGCAACATCGCGCCTGCCTTCTTCGCCACCATTATACAGTTACAGGGTCCCACCCCCGAGAGATGCGCCCCGCGCGTCCTAAGGACCCGCGTTTCGTACTCCCGGAAGCATCCCTGCGACCGCCCACGACGGGAATCATTTTGGTCCAGGGAACCGCCTTGCCGACGCTACTACTCAACAGTCGTCCCTCCTAGGCCATGAGAGCCATGGCGCCGGCGGGTGACAGGTACTGGCCGGCGGGCCCCGCAAAGGGCAATAAGGAGCACGCAGCTCTGCCTTTCACCCGGTCCGCCGGCCCGTCACCACCATCAGCGATTTCGAGGAGCAAGACTGGCCATTCAGGTTGAGATGGTGGATTCGTAGGCATAACGCATACGTATACTCCCCCCTTTCATCCTGCAGCGGAGAGATCCAGCCGGGGCCTCTCTTTCCTGGATTCTCTCCGCGGCCTCCTTTTGCGAGATAACGTCCTCGCAGGAGGCGATCGCTCGCCAAGATCTCTCGTCATCCAACATGGCTGCTACCATGCTGGGCAAGGAGAGATCCCGACTCCCTATTGTCTCTGCCATGACTCGACGCTGCTCCGACCATGCGCTGCACTCCGTAGTGTGTGGAGCGCGGAGTCCACTGCAGCGCCACGTGATCGCAGGACGGGGACTCTTCCTTCTGTATGCGGTGCAGGTATTGGCCAAAACACCCGTGCCCTGAAACCACTTGCACCAGCTGTAACAATATGAAGTTTGTAAAATTTACATAAATTAATCTACACTTCTGATCCTTAGATATGAAATTGGTGTTTGATATGGGAGATAGAAAAATTTGTTTTTTTTTTTTTAAATAAGTAATATATTTATTTCATTAAAGTATAAACCATTGTTATCTATGCACTTTTGCCATCTCATAGGTAGTTCATTGATCCCCTTACTAAAAAAACCATTCGGACGGGAATCAATAAAATCTTTGAAGGCGATTTGCACTGCCCCGTCGGAATTGAATTTTTTCCTTTGCAAAGTTATCCAAATTTCGAAAAAAAAAAAATTGGGTCAATTTTCGCTTGGGGCAGGATTTGGCTGGCATGCCAGGCATTGCGATGAGCACTTCCGACTATCGTAGAGAATCCACTTTTCATCACAGATAATGATTTAATTTAAAAACCCTTCATTATTGTGCCGGTTAAGTAATGTAACGCAGCAGTCGAAGCGCGTTTGCCGATTTGCTTTACTCAATTCGTGAGGTACCCACCTTTCAAGCTTTTCAATCGTTTCCGATTTGCTTCAAGTGGATTAAAACAGTTTTATCACTAACACCGCAGCCTGCAGATAACTCGGACGTGATTTCAACAACCAATAAAAAAAATGTTGTTGTGCCTCACTCGACATAGATAGGTTTTCTATACTGTGTCGTGGACTTTTTTTTTATATTTATAAGATCTACAATTAATTAGAATATTTTATGATTCTATCTTTTATAGTTAAGAGGCTGAATAGTGCCAAATCGATAAAATTGATCTAGGATTGTACTAATTCACGGGAAACCTATGGTAATCCAAAAATTTGTGGTTATACTTGATCGTATTTCTGATCTTGTGGTTGAAACCGAAACATGATTGTATTAACTTCACTCGATAGAAAATAATTCCAAAGTAGCATCTAAAAATATTGCGAAAGGCACGTTTCTCAATTATGTGATACATTAGAGTAATGATATTGAGTACAAATATGTATCAAAGGTTGATATAAAAGTTGGTTATTCCCAATTTTTGATAATGTTATTATAATAATTAATATAATTTATTTTGTGATATGGCACATATGGTCATTTTTTTCAAGCAACTTTAAAGTATTGACATTTCTGTCACTCCTACTGCAATTGACAGGGAAGGCTATAGAATAACGCACACTAACTTAGTTCACGCTGAGGCGTGTTGCTAGATGGACCTATGTTGCTTTGTGCAGCATTCTGACGTACCGAGATCGCTAAAATTGTAAAAAAAAAAACATTTTAAATAAGTATTTTAATTTCGCGCTTGTTTTAACAATATCTTTGGTGTAATGTACTAGGGAAGGGACCCGAGTGTCTCGAAGTTATAAGTTCTAATCCCACTAGACCTCGCATTTTTTTAAGTTGTTTTTTATTATTTTATTCTTATTTTTAATTTTTTTCTGCAATAATTTTAAAAAGCAACTTTTATTTATTTTATTTTATTATTAAACAGTATAAAATGCGAAAATAAATTTTTCTTTAGTATGACGTAGACGAAAGCCAGACTGACATTTTCATACAAAAATTCCGATATTTATGAAATAGTTCAAATAAAACACATTTTCGTGTTCCAATCCCATCAGAGAAACATTTCTTTTTTTAGTTTTTCTTCTTTTTCCTAATATATTTTCCTCTCTTATTTTTTCATAGGTATAAGTTATTCATTGATAATTCGTTAAAACCATTTTGAATATTATTTTATTCAGTAACTAAGTATTATTTTGTTATTATTATTATATTTTGTTCAGTATTATTTAATTTATCTAGTATATTTAATAAATTTAATTGCTTTAAAAATATATAATATAAAATTTGACAATAGGTAAATATTTCCATAAAAGTATGTGTTTGCAAAAGTTTGACATTTTCATGCAAACACCATCCCATAGACCGTAACTCTAGTAAAAAATAATTCCTAATCA